GACTGGGGAGGGGACCAGGGAGTGGGCCTGGGATGGGACTGGGATGCACAGGGGAAAAGGACTGGGATGCCCTGGGGAGGGACTGAGGGCAGTGGGGAGGGACGGGGATGGGTCTGGGGCACTGGGGAGGGAACTGGGATGGGACTGAGATGTTCTGGGGAGGGAGTGGGATGCACTGGGAGGGACTGGGGGCAGTGGGGAGGGACTGGGATGGGACTGGGGACACTTCACGGGGGTTGGATGCACTGGGTGCGACTAGGGGCACTGGGCTGAGACTAGGGGCACTGGAGAGGGACTGGGGGTAGTAGGGAGGGACTGGGATGGGACGGAGGGCACTGGAGATGGACTGGGGAGAACTGGGCTGGCACTGGGGGCACTGGACTGTGACTGGGATTGTCAGGGGAGGGACTGGGGAACTGGGATGATCCAGGGGTCATTGGGGAGGGATTGGGGACAGTGGGACTACAGGCACTGGGATGGGACTGAGGTCACTGGGGAGGGAACTGGGATGGGACTGGGAACACTGGGAAAGGGACTGCAGGGACTGGCATTGGACTGGGGAGGGACTGCAAGGGGACTGTGAGAGGACTGGGGAGGGGACTGGAGAGTGTGCCTGGGATGGGCCTGAGAATCTCAGAGGAGGGACTGGGACCACTGGGATGGGACTGCTGTCACTGGAATGGGGCACAGATGTACTGGGAAGGGACTGGGATTCAACTGGAAGCACTGGGGAGGGACTAGGAATCATTTAGGAGGGACTGGGATGGGACTGGGGAGGGACTGGGATGGGTCTGGGGGCACTGATTATGGCACTCAAATGCACTTGGGAGGGACTAGGAGCACTGGGATGCACTGGGGAAGGACTGGAGGCACTTGGATTGGACTGAGAGAACTAGGATGGCACTGAGGGCACTGGGGAGGTACCAGGGGCACTGGGTTGGGACTGGGCTGCACTGGGGGCACTTGGGAGCAAGTGGGATCACTGGGGAGGGAACTGGGATGGGACTGAGGGTACTGGGGTGGGACAGGGAGCACTGAGGGCACTGGGGAGGGACTGGAATGCGACTGGGGGCACTTGGAATGGCACTAGGGATAGACTGGGATTGCACTGGGGGCACTGGGGAGGGACTGCAATGGGTTTGAGGCAAATTTGGAAGGACTGGGAGCACCGGGGAGGTTCTGGAGGGAACTGTGCAGGGAGCTGGGTTGGGACTGAGGGTACTAGGGATGGACTGGGATGGGACTGAGGGTACTGGAGACGGAGTAGGATGGGACTGGGGTGCACTGGGGACAACTGGGAAGGAGTGGAGGCACTGGGGAAGGAACAGGGATGGGACTGGCTGCACTCGGATGCGGTTTGGGACACTTGGGAGAAACTGGGATGGACTGAGGAGGGACTGGGACAGTGGGAAGGGACTGGAAAGGTGAAATTGAAACAGACTCACCTGAGTCACGGTCTAAGAAGGCCTCCTACAGCTCCTGACTCCGAACAACAGCCAAGGGGCCTCAGCCCCAGCCCTGGTCCCTCCTCCCCCTCATTGTTAACACCTGGGCCTTCTCCATAGAACAGCTGACTCTACCCAGTACTCCCAGTTCTCTACAATGGCTTGCAACAGAATTACTAGACTCCCTAGAGTGCTCCAAAAATACAATCCTAATCCCACAGTAATTTCTACTACAAAACAACAGTCCCTGACCAAAGCATCCAGTTCATATTCTAGCCTCAATCTCTACCGCAGC